TCAGATATTACAGGCTAACGATGGAACTGACGACCCATTCATCGGTTTCCATTGCATGTTTCCAAGCGATACAAGGCGTTGTCTATATAAGACTCAAACTCACTGCGGATCCAGACATTTGAATTGAGAAAGCTTCCTGGAGAGGTGGCGAAACGTCTTCAAATCTTGATAACCAAGTCCAGTGGATATTTTTTGAATTTTTACGGAATAGCCATGGTACAGTACCAATGTAAAAAGTGGGCAAATACAAGGTAGAAGAAAAGCTAACAACTAACCTTATCCAGAGAGTTGTATGAAAATTGGTCATCTCCTCACTCTTTTGTCATCTATATCTTTTGTATGAACAAAGCAGTTTATTTTTTTTATCTTCCTGAAAGAAAAGAAAAATAATTTTTCATTTCCGTATAAATCAAATTGGTTCCTTCTCTGAGAAAATTGGCAGAAATTTACTCCTGTAAATATAAGAAGCCCATTTCATATGTTGCTGTTGAAACTAATTGAAATGTAGTCAGTCAATTGCAAATGTGGCTGGTAACTACGTGTATATTTGGTTGGTTATATTTTCATGAGTAACTTAAAAGAAGGTACTTTTTTTGTCTGATCACACTTTACCTAAGTAACATTTCTGGCTACCCACTTTGTAGCTTGTTTTTAAAAAGAAGATACACAGGAGAGATCACGCTTTTAGTTTAGGTGAGACCTTTTTAATTGGGTAATTAATAGGTAATTTTTTCTTTATATAATTTGCTATTTGCTAAGCCTTCTGTGTGATCAGGGGTTTAAGTGATCATACAATAAATGGATATACTGTATACTGGTGCCAGAAGACCCATACCCTATTTTAAATCAACTATTGGTTTCATAAGTTTTAAAGTGAATATATTTTATTTGAGGTTGTGTTTCTTTTACCTGAATTTATTATTGTGTAAAAATTATTTGTATATGTTTTCCATTTCATTCTATCAAAGTGATAATTTGCTTATAACTCTATATGATTTGCAACTTTACACGATGGCAACAGTTTACTTTAGTGAAAATATATTGAAATAGTTCTTCTCTTGAGTAGCCTACCTTGTTTTTGGTACTTTAACAGGCTCTGGTTACAAATAGGATTTAATACAGCCAACCAATTAGTAATATTGCTACAATAACATACTAGAAAAAATTTAAAACAGCACATATAGTGTGTTCTTTTTTTTAAATAAGGCTGTAAACAATTGAGGCGAAGGTTTTTTATTTGGCCATTGGTTTCTCCTCTGTAGAATACTGTACGGTTAAGTGGAAGAGAGGAAAGTAGCAAAAAAAAGTTGAAGTAACAGAGATAAAAGCAGGATGGAGAACACAGTAAAGCAAAGTGCATTTCCAGACAATATCCAGGACAGCTGTTGTATTTCTCATGCTAAGTCCATCTTGTTTAACGACCATGTCATGTGTCACTGCTATATTTGCCTGAACATTATTATGACCGGATCCCACAGAGATACAAAGGAGTATGGTTAAGAGGAAAGTGAGTGACATCATAACAAATGTTGCAAGCGAGATGAAACAAGATGGGCTACATTAACTGAGCCACAGGCTGATCACCTACAGTGATGCAATGATTGATGAGAGCATTTACTGCACAGTGCAAGTTTATTTTTTTTAGAAGGCTAACGTTGTGCAGTTTGAGGCACTGTAGCCTTCCAGCAAGAAGGTCCGGGTTCGATTTCTGCGTGGAGTTTGCATGTTCTCCCTGTGCATGCTTGGATTCTCTCCTGGTACTCTGGCTTCCTCCCACACTCCAAAATATGATTGTTAGGTTACTTGGCTTCTCTAGATTGTCCTTAAGTGTGAACGTGTGTACATGGTTGTATGTCTTTGTGTGAGCTGTCCACGGACTGCTGGAGATAGGTACCTGCCCACTGCAACCCTTACAGAATACGTGGGAAAAAATTGATGTTTTTCAGAAAATGACTCCTGTTTTCTGTAAAAAGTATAAAACTATTTAACCCCAATCGTCAAAATTCAGAATCAAAATCAGAAACAAAATCAGTGTGAGCGGCCTTCTGCTGAAGTTGACTAGGGAATGAGGAAGACAGAAAAGAAAGCTCCATTGGTTGGTCTGTCTGGGAAAGAAACAGTCATGCAGATAAACTCTAAACCAGTTTTCATGCCCAAAAGGATAAAGGAGAGCACATAGTTTGGGTATAAAACTGAGCCCATACCCATGTCTACACTCACAGAAACCTATTAAACAAACCTTACATTATCCATGTCAATTTGTATAATATAGTGATTTATTCAAAACACATAATCATCAGCTTTTTGTATACTGCAAAAAAAAATAATTAAAGGGAGCGCTTAAATAACATATCCTAGATCTGAATGAATAAAATATTCTCACTGACTACTTTGTTCTGTACAAAGTTGAATGTACTGACAAAACAAAAGAAAAAAAATCATGAATGGAAATCAAATTTATTAATCTAGGGAGGCCTGGGTTTGGAATCACATACAAAATTAAAGTGGAAAAACACTACAGGCTGATGCAACTTTGATGTAATGTCCTTAAAATGGTCAAAATGAGGCTCAGCATTCTGTAGGGCCTTCATGTGCCTGTATAACCACCCTACAGCACCTGGGCATGCTTCTGATGAGGTGGAGGATGATCCCCTGGTGGATCTCCTCCAAACCTGGACTAAAGTATCCCCCAACTCCTGGACAGTCGTGCTTGCATCTGTGAAGAGCACACTGTGCCAGTGGCATATATTTGCAAATTCTGTTGTTCTCTGGCAAATGGCAAGCGTACTGCACAGTGTTTGGCTGTGAGCACTACCCCCATCTGTAGACATCCGACACCTCATACCATCCTCGTGGAGTCAGTTTTGTGGCTGATCTGATTGTTCCTTATGTTCCTAACAGAGCACTTTGCTCTCAATCTGCAGGTTTACTAGTGGTTCCTAGAATGTCCTAAAAATAGAATGGGAGGCAGATCTTTTAGTTATCAGGCTCTTTCCTGTGGAACCGCCAGTTTTACTGCATGAGGCAGACACCCTGTCTACTTTTAAGGGTAGGCTTAAAACTCTCCTTTTTGATAAAGCTTATAGTTAGAGTGTTATCCTGAGCTATCTCTATAGTTATGCTGCTATAGGCTTAGACTTCTGGAGGACATAGGGACCATTTTTCATCATTCTGCCTCATTCTATCTCTGTTCTCCCACTGCAGTATTTGTTAATTCTAACTCTATGCTCTCACTGCTTTTTCTCATCATAGTTGCTTCCTCTGGTCTGTTCCTGTTTGGCTGTGACACCATCCTGGAGAGAAATATCAGCTGTGCTGCTGCCATCATCACTTTTGTTTATAGATGTTTGAGCATGGCCTGTTTTTCAGTGTAGTCCTATTTCTCTTACTGTGACTAACTGGATGTGCTCTCTTCATCCTCTGACATGGGAGTTGGCTCAGAGTTTGTCTGCCTGGGTGTGTGTTTCCTCGACGGGGCCGCCTTTTAGAGTTGTTTTCGTCCTGTTAAAAGGGATTTTTTCCTCTCCACTGTCGCAACAAGCATGCTTAGTGTGAGAGATTGCATTCAAGTTAATGAGTCGATGCAATCAACTGGTTTTCCCTAGACAGAAAACTTTGAATCATTTTGACTGTATGATCTGGTGAAGTGCTTTGAGAATGACGTGTTGAGAATTGGCACTGTAAAATAAACTGAATTTAATTGAAAAGTGACCAAACTATAAGCCAGAAAGCATAGGTACTGAGAAGTGGTCTGCGATCCCTACCAGCAGAATCACTCCTTTACTGAGTGTGTCTTGCTAATTGGCAATAATTTCCACCTGTTGTCAATTCCATTGGCACAACAGCATGTGAAATTGATTGTCAATCAGTGTTGCTTCCTAAGTGGACAGATTGATCTCATAGAAGTTGGACTTAATTTGAGTTATATTGTGTAATTTAAATGTTCCCTAAGTTTTTTTGCAGTGTATATGGAATAATAAAATACACTTGATCAAAATTAACACTAAGGAGCATATTTATTTGAAATACATAGCTTTATATTTTGATTGTGAAACTGATAACTTTTCTTAATATTTTCACTTGATCTCATCTGATTGAAGTTACTGTCTTGCAATGGTTGCTTCTGATTGACGTAAAAAGTTCAGGCATGACTTTGAATTATGTCTCATATTAATTTACAGCGTGACCGTAAGATCGAGTTTGATGATGCATTAATAGATCCATGGGCGGTTCCAGACAGGGGCCAATGGGGACCAGTGCCCCTGTAGATCATGCCCTGGCTCCTGTTATGGACCCTGTACTGAAGACATAACACCCAAAGAAATTCTAATGATGACCTGCGCAGGAACAGACATAGTTATTGATAACTCCTTTGGAACCATTTCATTTTTTTTCTTTACAAATTCTGTTTTATTAACTATTTAAAAACAATAAGGTGATAATAAGGCTTCAGTGGTGTTGAGATAGGATCCCAGTTTTCATCTGCTAAATGTTTTTTTTTTCAAAACAAATTAAAAACATACTCAATTTTTACAGCTTATTTAACAGTTCTTAAATTCTAATTCAGATTTTATATACTGGAAACTAATTTCAATTTAAATTAAGTCAAAAAGATGTAAAATTCCTAAATTATGAATATATATTGACTTAATAAGACATGGAATTTTAATGGACTCTAATTGAATAGAAATTTCACTTAATGCAGCTCTCTTAATGTGTTTAAATCCCTTGCGCTTTTTTTTTATTTCATGCTCTGTCTGAACTCTGGATAATATCAGGCTTTAGGTGCGCAGTGAATCCTACCGTTTTTCATCACTACCTGGAATGTACTGTAGGTTAGCCTACTTCACTTGCAGTTAGAAACGAGGATCTTAACATTACAACATCTTGTCATCCAGTGATGGGAATTTAACTGCCTGCTGCTGATTTGTCAGACCGCATGCTCCGTAACTGCTTCTTGGGTTCTTTCTTTCTTTTTTTTTCTTTCCCCAGACACTAGTGAACGCAGGACGCGCTCTGTGCCAAGAACAAGGGGGAGGCTGGTGAGGGGGAATGCGCAGGACAGGCACAGTTTTATTTGCTCATCAGGGGTCTCCTTCTCTGGCTATATAAGGCGCTCCGTTTCACGGGGGCAACAAAGCTCCCTATGAGCCTTACGGAAATCGCCAAGAAGCAACTGCCCGCTCCTCTAATAAGGAAACAATTCAACTCCCTGCGCGCACTTGAAGCTCTGCCGAAATCTTCCAGAAGCTGCAGAGAGCCTGAGGTGAGCCAAATGAGACTTTACGCACATTTATCTTTAAGATATGGTCGGGTTTAAGGGCACACATCACACATTCAGCATCATTCATGCCATTAAATGAGTGATGTCCTTAGTTTGGAAACAAGAACTTTTATAGTGTACGTGCAAATAGAGCTGTTAGGCATTAATGGTCCTTCCTTTAATCTCCTGGAGGGAATTATATGGAAAATAAACCCAGTAAGTACTTTTATTAGTTACCATTATGAAAAAACCCTAACAGTAGCTGCTATTAGTAAACTTATATAATCTACACTTATATATGGCTAATAGATTATATATGTGTTATCAAATAATCTGCAAACACTTTCTCTACAAGCAATTCAAAATAAAATATATACTATTGGGCATGAAACTGGTTAGTTTTGTCTTGCTTTCAGTTTATGCAAAATAAACAATAATACTAAACAATTTATTAGCCATATTAGAGGAACCATATTAAGTGCTACCAAAAACTTTGCTAGTGTGAAAACAGAAAAAAGAGCTAAGAGATTTTTGGAAAAATAAATGAAAATAAATGAAAGGTTGAAAATGTACAAATAGAATTTTAGCTATATTAAAATTCTCACCTGGACCAACTGGAAAGGCAGGAAATCATTTATAATGGATTAGATTGCAGCCCAGAAGTGGTGCCCATAAAATTGATGTTCATATTTCTCTGAGTCTTCTCTGTCTGTCACTGTTGTATAAAATTCGTGAAAGCCATGAGAAGGGCCCAGACTAGAGAATCTGGTAAGGCTGCATTGGGAAGACAGCTGAGGAAGAAGGGTGTGGTTCCTGGGCTGCCGGTTGGCTTGCAGTGCCCGGAGCTGGCACAGCATGTTGACACAGAGCCGGCGCCAGACCTCAAGCTGCCTTTTTAGCCAGAGGGAAGAGGGTGAAGGGATTCAAGGATACGAGCAACCAGTGCAAGCTGAAGCTTGATTTATTAATTTATTTTGTTTCTTTCTGATCCCTGTCTTATTGCTTCTCCCTCTGTACAAAGCTTTGTGATGTTGTCCTTAGTTTTTAATGTTGGTAAATCCTCTAAGCTGGCTGCTGCCTTCGAAGATAATCCCGTTTCAGATTCACATAGGATAAAAAGTTTGGTGCCCAGTTTACAGTTCACTTAAATTTAAAGGTAGTCAACATAAAATCATGCTGCTCTCAACAGATTGCACAGTAGGGTACCTCTCTATATACAGTGAGGCCAAAAATCCATCATTACCATTTTAACCATAGAAGAACTGTTTATTCTTTATTTTATGCCACTGTTTGGGAGATGATGGGATGTTGACGCTGACTGCAAAGGAAGCTGTAATCCATCATGACATCTGTTCATGTTACATCTCAGTATTGCTTGTACTGTACATTTATTCAGGCAATCATCTATGGATGCGGCTACTATGTAATAAAGAAAGCACACATTAATTTCAATATATAAAATATTAAACTAATAAATTTTATACAAAAGCCAACTATAATTAAGGCATCATCAGTTTTTAGAAAAAAAACTGTTTCACTCCTACCTCTTCTAGGTAAACACAACTTTACCTAGAAGATAGGAGAATCTTCATTAGATTTGAACATTATGTATAAGTTGTTTCAGAGGTAGAAATAAATATGTGGACCTAATAAACTATGAATAATTACACACAGAGTGATTCTGTTTATCTCTCTTCCATTGGGAATTATTATAGCTTACAGAAAATTAAAATGCAAAATTTAGTTTATAAGAAAATTTCTGTGTTAGGTGGAAAGCCCCAATTGTTTATTAAAAAGAAAAAACTGAAACAAAGCCGTTAGGTCAAAGAGAGCTGTATCCAGGCACATAAACAGAAAGTTAAGTGGAAGGAGAAAGTATGGTTAAAAAAAGTAGATGAAGTAGCCTGAATAACTGCAGCAGTTGCTACCTGCCCACTTTCTCAAAAAGTATTAGTTCCTGATTTGATGAGCACAGTATGAGCTTGATTTGGGAGCAGACACACCTAAAAACTACTAACTCTCATTTTCAAGATGATGAGAGCACGTACCTACAATAAGAACTAGTCTAAATCTACTGTTAAAGTCACCTGGGTGTCCTTAAGAGCTAAGCAGAAAAGCAGGATAAACACTGCTGATGCAATAACTCGTGGAAAATGAACCCCAGCCAAGTATTGACTGGATTCACTGCAAACCACATGGTCATACTTTTCAGCAGACATATCTGTATAAAAAAACCCAACAGACTTTCTATTGGTCTTCTTTACAGTTATAATAATTATGTAGAACAGTATTTTAAGTTTTTGTTTAGAAATTTGGAAAAAAAATCCACTTGACTCGAAAAGAGGATTCAAAGAAAAGTGTTAGCCCTGATATACAGTGTGTTTCCTTTGAGTGTAGCACTACTGTGGAAACAGCACTGGCTGCATCCACACATGGGAGAAAATATTGGGTCAGAAGGGAGGTTTTCCACCCAAGTTAATTTCCGTAGTAGCTAGAGGTAGCAGAGTTTGTCTGAAAATGTATGAGTGCTTGTTGAAATCTGTCCTGCTTATGTGTTGACTCTACAGATTATTTGGACTCTTGAGGAGCACCATTCACAGAAAAAGCTGCTGAAAGCTGAAGGTTTATCCCAGGAAGCTTAAGTGTCAGGATGACCCACAATGCCTCATCTTGCCTCCTCTTCATCTCCCTACTGATGAACTTTGTCACAGACTCATCTCCTGTTGTCCTGCCGGATTCCAAGGAACTGCGGCAGCTTCTCAGCCGCTACGAGCAGGAAGCAAACCAGAACGGTATCAGCTCTATAGCTGGCAACAGAACCAGACGAGCCATCCTCTGGTCGGACCGGGAGGAAATCCTGCAGCTGCACAACAAACTGAGGGGCAGCGTTTACCCTACTGCCTCAAACATGGAGTACATGGTGAGATCTGTCACTTTAACTCCAATAAAATTAAAAGACCAGAAGTCTTTAAGTTTAATCTTCTGTAAATTAACATGATGTCAGCAGAGGCAAACACTGAAACAAGGCTTGTAATTTGTGTTTAAGAGCTTTAATTTGCCCAAAAAGGTGGAGGTGGTGCAAAAAAAAAAAAAAAAATCTTTTTTTTCTCTGCTGGAAACATGCAGTCATAAAGGTTGACCTACTGCCAGCCTGCTGTGCCAGTCTTTTACAGGGAGTACTTTTATGCTGACTCTACCAACAAATGGCTGTGCTTTGAAGAACACAGAAAAGTCAGGCTGACGGTGAAGTTCATGGAACATTTCTGGAGGAAAAGGGGAGAGATTTTTGTTGCTACATACAGAGGATTACTCAGAAGCATGTGCTCCATGAGGTTGGAAGAAGCAGCAGGAACCTGTGTGTCTTTGGACTGTGGTTATGGTGTGGAGGCAAGCGTCTGTAGACCCACTCTGCTCTCTCATATTCAAGGGAACAAGCAGCATGTGTTTGGATTGGTGAATGAATGTTTTGGGGGCTACAGTGGTGTCTGTGTGTGCATGCTCTAGGGACCACCAAAAGGCTGGAAACTTACTGAGGGCATATACTCCAAGGGGCCAGGCTGTTGGGAACCCTTCCTGCTTCTCACTGTTGGAGTCAGGTGTTTTTTTATTTCTCTCCTCCCGTTTCCACCAATGCAGAGCATCCCGCTGTGGATAAAGCACCTGTTATTGCTGTGAATCTTTGGCGCTATATTCCACCAGCTAAACTTCAATATCAACATTACAGGTTAACATTGATACTTTATTTAGGAAGAAAGGAGCTACAGCATCAGAAGCCCTTAATAAACTATATAGATGCAAATTCTCTGTATTTGTAAAACAGTTTTCATTGTTTCTTATCTCATGTATGCAGGTTTGGGATGATGAGCTGGAACGCTCAGCTACTCATTGGGCTGAGGTGTGTCAGTGGGACCATGGACCTCAAGACCTCATCATGTCTATTGGACAAAACCTTGCAGTTCACTATGGGAGGTAAGGTTCAGTCACACTCATAGCTCAACTACTTATCGCTGCAGTCAAACGTTTATGTTAAATTTCTTTTGCATTAATTACATATTAAATACAGGTTTCTAATATTTTTAAACAGCTGTTTATGCAGGGGATGAAATGTATACGAATATATAATATATGCATAAAAATGTGTACATAACTTTAAAATTATTTTCAGCTTAATTATCTTGGGTTTAAGCTATCTTTCTTGAGTCGTCGGCAATGCTCCAACATAATTTTGTCCTAATATTTGATATACATTTATTCATAGCAAAGCCCTTACTTTATATTAGTTAATTAAACAATATTTTTATGATCACTGTTCTATTGTAAATTGCCTATAACTATATAGAGCTTTATCTAACTGTGGAACTTCAAAGTATTTTACACTACATGCTGATGTTCACTCATTCACAAACACATCAACATGCTGATGGTGGCAAGCTACATCGTAGCAACAGCTACAAATAAGGTCAAGAGCAAATATAGTTTTTTTTAGATATAATAGGAAAAAAAACTGTTTGGTTTTAAAGGTTAGAATTACAATGTCCTAAAAAATCATAAAGGAAAAAAAGTTTATATAGAATAATATTGATTATTAAATACATTCTTGACGTTTACATCATTGCCTAAAAGACAGAAAGTTGTTATAACTTTATTTGTGTTAAAGCATGACCTTGCATTTTATTTCTGATGTCATCTATTCTGTTTTTGTCAGTAATAGTCTAAGTGATGGGTCACAAGGATATTTAATGGGTGTTCATCAAAAGAAATTCAGCTTTTTTGAGTCAAGATTTATTTTTATAAATACGCATAATCTTGTTAAGGATCATACAAATATTGAATTCTATGTATTTTAGTACTTCATGGTAGAAAAAGTGCAAAAAAAGTTGTCCTTTATTAAAAATTAGACATATTTTTCATTAATTAACTACAAAGTCCTTATTTTTCCTGCAAAGTAATAAAAAAGGCAGCATTTTTAAAAGTTACTACTGATGTTTTGACCATTACCTTTTAGTAATGGTGAGCAAGTGATAAGGCTGTAAGGTTTTATGCTAAGACCTGTTCTTTAGCTGTCTCCCAGACTGATTTATTTCAGGTCAGAAATTTGGTCAGAAAACCACATAACATATGCTATCCTCTGTTAGCCATTGTTTAGACATTTTAATTTATTTTTGCTTAGCGTCATAGTGGAAAGTGAAGTTTTTCAAATGATCTTGTTTTTCTCCAGAATGTTATATTGATGCAGATTTATGTGATTCTCTTCAATGGCAGAACTTGATTCTGCCAACTTTGCTTTGTAATTCATTTTGAGCAAAACTTCAGCCGAAGTTATGTTTTTTGGCAAGATGTGCTGTATAAACCACTGACAGTTTTCCTTAACAGATTGTAGAGAATCCCGCTTTTTCTCCAGAGCATAAGTAAAACTTGCGCAGTATTGCAAAAGCCCTTTTCTTATCCAAGCTCAACACTTATATCCTGTAGTCAATAACTCAGAAATAAAAAGAAGTACTTGTACATTGCTTTCTGCTTCACCATTCTGTAGTACCTTTACTTATACATTTGTCACTATATTGCCCTTTATCACATTCATTTCAAGCCAAAAAGAAATCTATAAAAAACATTTTCTAAAACCATTTTACATAAGATTATTTTTCTTGGTTCTCAGGTTTTTTTATTGACTTTGGAAATATATGATTATAAAAGTATAAAATCACTGGTGTAATCAAAAACATTTTAAAATAAAATTAAGAGTACTTCATATTTCCTCCTATTTCTTATCTCCATTAAATAATATAAATTAGCATTGCTGATCAAACTAAAATAACTCCCAAAATAAATCAAGGGACTGTTATGTATACTGGCCTCAGGGCAACATTTTATTTTAGTCAACAATAGATAAATTGATTTAGAACCTCCTTAAGCTGGTAAAAAATTAGATGTGGATGTTAAGTATAGTATGTTGCAGACAACTTATATCTCATATCTGAAAAATGTGGTTACCGCAGTATCAAAACTGCAGACATTTAGAATATTAAAAGGTGAATTGACCATCAAAAGCATAAAACTATATGCAAAACTGCACCTATGCAAAAGCAATAATGTAGCATGTTAATAACTAAATTTCTTCAGAGTATTTCATCCCCATATCTACTAGTTTTGGCATATTTGTTTACAGAACCTTAAGCTTTAAATATATTTCAGATGAGCATAGGATGAAAGATTAAGCAAGCTTGTACATATTTATTTAGGTGAAATGATTGGGTGTGTGGAGACTAGTGGCGGAGTGTGGGGGTGCATCAAAACAACTGAGGTAAACATCTGCTAAAATCCCCAGTAGCACAGAATACTCTAACATGGCAGTGATCTGAAATAAAGATGTTTTGACATCTTTGTGAAAAAAAAAAAAGCATCAGCTTTGGTTGAATTTGTACCCACATAAATCCAAATTTTCGAAAAGACCAAAGCAGTGGCAAGGAAGTGTGTCTCTGAGTGGACAAACATGGCTGGGCTCTGTCTATAACAGCATGTGGATAACCCAGCAGGTGCCTTTCCAGGAATCTGCTCTGATTATTTCCCATTTCCCCTTTTTATTATTTTTTTCCAACAAACCCTGACGTTGAGTATTATTTGTTCTTTCTTCTTCTCACCTTAATCAGTACTTTCCAACCCTGCAAAGGGGATGTTTAAAACAAGCACTTAACAATATAGTTAGTGGATGGCCCCACATTTAAGTTCAATCTTTTTCACTGCTTATTCCTTTCATCCTCATTTGATATCCTCTTGTTATGTGGATCCAGCCTGCAGCTCTTTGCACCAGGTTAAATCTGGACTCATATTTTTAAACTAATGGGCGGCAAGGAATAGAGATTTATGCTGTGTTTTTCAAGTTTGGAGCCAGAGCACCTGGCAGCTCCCTCTGATATTTCCTTTTTGACCCCGGTAACGGGACCAGCTGTGACTAAGCCTACTGTTTGTCTAAGTGTGTGTGTGTTTGCATGCACATTTCTCCTACAGATACCGCTCACCTGCCTTCCATGTACAGGCCTGGTACGACGAAGTCAAGGACTACACCTATCCTTACCCTTATGAGTGCAACCCGTGGTGTCCTGAGCGCTGCTCTGGGCCCATGTGTACCCACTATACCCAGGTAGGAGAGTGGCAGACCCTTACACATACATCACATATCAGTCAGTGGCCTCTGTGACCAAAAACTTAAAGCTTAGATTTGCCTCTGATTTGCCGTCTCAGTTTTAGTTTATAAGCTGCAAGCTTAACTTAATGAGCTTTTGCTGATTCAAAAGTGGTGCGAAATTAGGAGCCCTAAAGGAGAAAATAACTAAATGAATAAAAAACAGAAACAATAGATAGAAGCGCTGGCCTACAGTCAGTTTCATAGCTATTGGGTTAATTTTACGGAAACGTCCACAATCTCCTCTGTTTTCACCCTGAAACCTGATCATTTTCATCTGGCAGTCATTTCCAGACCCAGCAGACATCCTGCACTGCCTGACCTGGGTTCCTTTGAAGATGCTGCTGACAGGCCATCACCTTACTGTTTGTTTTCTGTTTGTTGAAGTGTCTGTCATCCAGGCTGTTACACTAAAATACTACCCTTGGATTGCATTGTGGCTACTTAAAGATCCATGTCAGTCTGTGTGCTGACTCACTGCTTCCAGAGGCCTCTAAGAATACAAGAAAAAAAGATGAACATTCCTAAGGAGGGGGGAGGATGTGTTTTGGGAGGGAGGTGTTTGGAGAGGTTCTGGAATATGCAGCTTTTCATTTCCCTTTAAATGGGACATGATTTATTTCTGACACCTTTGCAGCTGCACGTTTCATACATCCTCTGAATCTTTTGAAATTTACACCGAAATGGACCATTTGAAAATGTATTTAAATTATTACAAATAACCTTTTTTTTTTAACAGCAAAACATCATTCAATGCAGAATTAGATCCCCCAGCAGCTTTTAGTTGCCCAGTTAATTAAATGGTCAATTTAAGTGTTTCCTCTGGAATTAATTACTGTGACAAAATGCCAGTCAAGAAATATATAGTCTCTTCATTCAGAAATTACCAGTGCTAACTTTGGCCATTTTTTTATTTTTTCTTATTTCAGCTGGTCTGGGCAACCACGAACCGAGTGGGCTGTGCTGTACACGTGTGTCCAAGAATGAATGTGTGGGGAGAAACATGGGAGAATGCTGTTTACCTTGTGTGCAACTATTCCCCAAAGTAAGATCAGTATTCCTCTACAACCCACTGTTTATCAACGGCCTCTAAACTTTCTCTGTGCATGTTAAACAAATGTTAAAGAAATTATATTATGGTGTTGTTGGGCATTAAATATCTCTAAGTTTAAGTTGGAGTGGTAGAATAATTTGCTTTTTAAGTACTGGATTGATCGTTACTTAAGATTTCTGGAGTAATTAATTCCCCTGTCTGTGCAGGGGAAACTGGATTGGAGAAGCCCCGTATCAACATGGTCGCCCTTGTTCCCAATGCCCTCCAAGCTATGGAGGAGGATGTAGAAACAACCTGTGCTACAAAGGTGAGACCAACTTCTGTATTGTTAATGAGAAAGAAAACAATGGTCACATGAGCTACATCGATGATGTTCTGCTATGTCACAAGCTTAAAGTAGACACTGAAGGGTTATGCCTTCTCTTGGGTCTCTACACTGACCTGGGTCAAATGCCTATCCATGACTAGTGCTGGACTGAGTTTTTCTTCTATGTACTCTGGGTTTTAAAGCATAGCTTTGATTAATTCATTAATTTATCTTTTTACCTTCATACCGCCCTTCCAACTACTGAAAAAAAGTGATTTGTTCCTCTGCTTGGTTGGTTGGATGGGAGAGTTTATCGGTTCCAGAGCCGGAACGTGATGTCCAAACAGAACGGTTGAAAGCTAATCAAATCACCAGTAGAGTGATAGAACTGTATAGTAAAAAAACAAACAAAAATAGCTTTCAGCTATTTAATAAGCTCATAATTCAATTAAATTCCATATAATCAATAGTGCCTGTTCAGTGCTATGCTGAGCTATAAAACCTGACTTAAAATCTTTAGAAAGATTATTATGGTTAAGGTGGTCACACACTTTTTAGGAACTATTTTCTATAGAGTTTCAGATAAGAAAGGAAGATTGGATATTGGTCTATAATTACAGCATCACTGCTATGCTGTTGGGATTAACCAAGGTGAAGCAGAGCTTCTGAACACTAGGGGGTGCCTATATATTGGTGGAGCTTTAGGGCTGTCAATTCCATAGACACATGAAAGTTTTTACTTTGAAGAGCATCAGAACTATGACGTTTTCAAAGCCAACTCCTTGCTGCCTATTTCGTCAAACCAGACATCAGACATTTGACAACCTCCATCATTCATATTTACGGTTGTGATGCAGCTAATGCCAAGATCTTTATTTTATTGAAAATCTGTTGCAACACCTCAAAATATATGCTTAGTTATACTAACCATCAAGTTATTTTACAAAGAAACCAGCAAAATAATAGTCTCGAGATTTTTACATATTTTACAGAAAAATCTCAAAAAAGTTTTCCAGTTGTACAATTAAAGGAGCAATATGTAGTAATTACACCCGGTGTTTCAAATCAAAAAAACGGACAAAACAGATAGGACCCCTTATTTTTCAGCGAGTGTCAAGCAGTTTAAGAGAGATGAGGATGTAGCTCAGCTAAATTAAAGTTAAATCATTAAGATGATCCAACCATAGGAAACAATTGTGCGACTTTTCTCAGATGGTTGGCTCAGGTAGTAAACATGACCTGCATATTAGAGTTAAGTAGTTCCATACAGATTTAATCTAGATTTAAAAGGAGAAAAACTTAACTAAGGTATTTTCAATGGAGAGCGCTTATTCTTTATAAGTAATGTTTCTTCCATCCAAAGTGACAAATGAGAATGATTTTGGAGAAATACAGATAGATGTTTTCCAATTATTAACAATGCACGTGAGGAGAAACATCAACCGGTTTAAAACCAATCTAGAATGACTTCTATTTTATCTTCAATAAATGCCTCCACTTAATGTCTTCATAAACCAGATTCTCAGCGTTCAGAGACAGAGGACATGAACGAGGTGGAAAAGCCTCAAGTACCACTGCCACCTCGGACCACCCCCAAACCGACCCCCAGGCCTCCCAGGAAACCTGCAAATAAACCTTCCACTCCAAGGACATCATCTCCAAAGAAACCCGACAACCCTTATCTTGGTAGACACAGGAATTATGAAACAATGAATACATGAAAATAATATGTGTGTTTGGTATTAAATTTCAATTTATTGTTTCATTCTTGCAGCTCACAACATTAAATGTGAGACTAGACTACGGGATAAGTGTAAAGGAGCAACCTGCAACAGGTCAGGACATTATGAGAATTTTTTGTGGAAAAATGCATATTTATTGGTGTATCCCACACTTCCTCTTTAAGACTTGTTAATTTTCTTTGTCTGCAGACATTATTGCCCTGCAAACTGCTTAAATAGGAAAGGGAAGGTTTGGGGGACTGTTTCCTATGATGTGGTGAGTCTATCAAAAAGGAAACACCAGACATCTAGCCACAGTTTATAACATTTAGTCATTCTTAAAGTACACTTCTTGTCACAGCAATCAAGTATTTGCCGAGCTGCTATCCATGCCGGGGTCATCGACAACAATGGAGGGCTGGTCGACATCACAAGGAGGGACAGGTTACCGTTCTTTGTCAGATCCACAAAAAATGGAGTTGAGTCTCTCAGGTAGCTACATCTACACTTTATCATTGCTTTTTAAAATTTTAAATGTGTCTTTACATGTGTCATACTATTTGGAATTTTCAGTCACCTAAAGCAAAAAAAAAAAAAAAGGAGTTCATTTAGACCCTAAATTATGGCCCCATTCCTTTAATCACACCAGTATAATAAGAGGATCCCAGCAACCTTTGCCATGATAGCTCAATGGAGACAAACATAACATAACAACATAACAATTAGAAAGACTATATATTGCACAGCATTGTTTTATCTTACTAATTACAGTTTTGTATCTTTACTTTTGTACCATATCACTCAAAAGAGAAAATGTAATGCATCTCTCCATTTTTCAGCAAATATAAACCTGGAAACTCCTTTGTGGTGTTCAAAGTGGAAGGTGAGTAAATGCTTTATTTGATTAAGATTTGAAAAAGAAGTTAGTAGATACTGCATAATATATTGTAAATTAATTTTGAATTTAAGTGTTTATCTTCTCTTTCTGTTTGGATAGAATATAAAGCTGATTGTTACACCACAGTAGCTGAAATCTGCCCTTTTAGACAACCAAACTCCCACTGTCCAAGGTGACCTGCATATTTTTTTTATCACTTTATTGAAAAGATTTCAAAAATGTTAACTACCTTCTTAATAAAACAAATATGTGTGTATGTATATATATATATATGTATGAAAAAAAATGATTATTTTTTGGACTTTATAGTGTGAATTTACCTTTTATCCAATACTGTGATTTTTAGAATCCTCTGTCCAGCAAGCTGTAACACTGAGCCTTCTTACTGGTCACCAGTGATTGGAAACAACATCTATGCAGACGTGAGTTCTAATGACTGTTTTCAAAGTTGTCAAAAATCATGCTTAAACTTCATGTTAAATTATATTTTGCAAAACCAGAACACTCAGATATGTTTTAAGAATGATTAGAAGGCTAAATGTTGGTTAAACGTGGAATATAAGCGCTCTGGTTGGAATCATTGCTAGAGTGTACAGTATGATCTGTGTTTAGATTGGAATTGATTGATTATACTCTGCTGATAAGAACTTATGGTTTGTTATGCTGAAACCAGACTTCTACACTCTCCTCCTATGTGCTTGTTTGATGTGGAGAAAAACGTTTGTAAATGTTTTTCTTATTCTTTCCATTCTTCACAGAGCTCCAGCATTTGTAAAGCAGCCATTCATGCAGGAGTAATCAAAGCAGACGGTGGTTTTGTTGATGTTCTGCCACTGGAAAGAAGAAAGAGTTACACTGGAGTCCAGAAAAATGGAATCCAGTCTGAAAGGTAATGTCCCTGTTTACACAATACGGGTTATTTATAAAAGAAACAAAGATAAAATAAATGTTGCATCCTGTTTACAATCAATAGTTTAGCAGCTAAGAAACTATCAGCTGTCATTTGCTGAGAAAATGCATAGTGAATATTAACATGAAAGCTCATTTCTTTGAGGAAGCAACTCTCCTAAAATTTGTTCTCCTGAAAAAATTCTAAAATCCTTACTTTTAAAATTGCTCTCCCGCTTTGATTACAAACATCCATCTGTCGATCCATTTCTTTGACTTGCTCATTTCTTGAAGGATCACAGTAGGGTTTGTGCTAATACACACGATAATTGAAGCTCAGACTCACACTAAAGGGTAATTATCAGTACAAGTTTTTCTAACATCGGTGTTTTTAAAATAAAATGTTCTAACATTGATGCTTTAAAAAAAAAATCTAATTTTTTAACATGTATGTTTTTCAAATTTGAGAGGCAGCCAAGCTATACACAAAGGCCCATAGCTGGGGTTTGAACCCAGGACTCTCTTGTTGCGAGGTAGTGCAACTGCTCTATCCTGCAACTTTTTCTAGAAAACAGACAGAAAATCAGTATTTTCTCTTAAGTATTAAAAAATGTATTAGAAATCATAAAGTTAGAGGTTGAACTAACAAATACTGTAGAATGGGAAAATAGAAATAGAATGAAGGAAAATGATGAAAAGTGTTCCTTATGTCTTCCAAAAGCCTAAGCCTAAAGCAGCATAACTATAGAGACAAAGAAAATCAACTTCATAATAAATGAAGTTGAACTTGGAATAAGTTAATAAATACAAATATCATACATGGGTGTTTGTTTAATTTGTTGATATAAGATAAAATCCTTCTCAGCTAAATTTCCCTTTTGGTCAGTAGGACTGTACGGGGACAAGACAATAGACTATGCCAAAGAAAGCTGATTGATGTCCACTATAATAGCAAGTATAGAGGGGTTCTTTGCGTACACGCCATGTTTCCCAAAGGGCTCTTATGTCTTTGGTTTACTTGAGTAGACTAAGCTCAAGCAAGAAACCCCTCGTGGTCTGGCCAACTGGCATATGGGGATGTAAGAGTAATGATGTGGTTTGGTGTGTGGGTAGGCCACACACTGGCCCTCTGCTTTCTTTACCAATACATTTCAATTGGCTGAGTAAAGTGCTGAATGGCTAATAACAATCCAAGTCTGAGTGTTTGAAACCTAATGCAGTGCAGTGAAGGCCGCGCTCAGGGCATTGGGACAGGAGGTCAGTAAGTGCCTGAGGTAGAGTTAATGCCATGTGCCAACATCATGGCAGCGTGGGCAGTTTGGATTGCTCTCTGCTGCTTTTAATGTAATTACAGCCTATCCAATTACCTCAAATGGAGATGCTGTCAGCCAATCTGCTAGCTCTCCCTTATAAAAAATTATCTGTTATGGGACCCCGGTCATACTATTCTATAGTGGTCATTGATCATGGAACAGCTTCAAGGTCTTTCTGCTAATTAACTAATTAAAAACCTTGTGTTGAACACTCAGAAATACTGGTGCAGTGAGTCATTCTGAAAACAGCAGTTTCATTGAGGTTTCAGCCCAAAGCATGAACTGCTGATTTGGTCCCTGATGGATTTCGCTGCCGAAATAATTTGAACCACGAGGGTAAAGATTTGGGTTACATCTGATGATTCTTACCAGGTTTATCAAAAACCTGTTGAAGAAAAAGATTAATAGACATCATTGCTGTTTCTTTATCTCATTCATAGCCTTATTTAGACATCTATTCAGTTCTAAATATCTATTCATATGAGCTGATCTTTGTATCAATCACTTTAAAATAAGATAAGTGATATCATTTCAGTTTTTTTACATTTCATCATGTTACAACTTAATTTTTTTTTCTATAGAAATTATATTATGCATAAAACACATTGAAGTTTGTGGATGTAAAGTGACAAAATAAGGAAAACCGCAGTAGGTATGACTTTTTATGTGCAACACAGCCGAGTTCCCACATGCCACAAATGTATTTCAGTATACATTTAACAAAGGTGTGAACCACTCACTTCATTTGGAAGTGAAATATTTCATGATAATTTCAGATCTCTAAACTAAAGGTAACTTTTTTCTTTATTTTTAGCAAGAGCAACGTGAATGGAGGTTCTTTCAGACTCTTTGCCGTGAAGGTCACTTCAAAGGTCTGAGGATCAACAGAATTTGCTCTGCAGGCCTGGAAAAGCAGAAATCCTCAAGTTGGATACCATCACCCTTGAGCAGTAATTCATAAAATATATAAAGGCGCTTTGTCCCACCATGTATTACTTAAATCTTAAGCAAAAATGTGTTCATTTGGGAATATTTTGAAGTTCCTTGTTTTTACTCGTATTTTCATAGGGAAGCATAATTTGTGAATATAAAAGATTTTATACATATTTTGAATTAAACAGCTGGTGCTGAAATAATTTGGTTAAACAGAAATAATTATGTTTATATTAAAGAAAAAAGTTTTCATACACAGGAATGTATACCGATTACACTGTATTTAATCCTTCTGTACAGAATATATCCTACATTAGTTTTAACAATTTTCAGTGCCCATTTGATCTAAGTCTCAACTTCAACTCTTAAAATTCTCGATTATTACTGTTAAGTCACATCCAAGTGTGAAATTAATTTAAAGTTTAAAGACAGTGTATGTTTAGGAACACAGTTGCAGATGAAAAGTTTCCAAAGGATGGAGGAGACATTTTAAAAGATGAGATCTACTATCTCATTCCTGTCTAGTGCTTGCTTACTGCCCTTTATGCCTTTTTGGCCCCGTTGTATATAGGAGAATGTAACATTGTCCCTGCCCCCACCAAAGACAATTGAATGTGTTGCATGGATCAGGTACAGAGATGTTTTATGTTAATGGTGAAAGTATATTAAAAGTTTCAATATTGAACTTCAGTTTGTGCACTTTTGGAAAACTAGTGTTATGCAGCACAATTAGGGAAGAAACTCATTTTAGTTACTATGATGATTTGATCATTGTTTTATTGTAACATAAAAAAAAAAGATATTTCTTAATTATATCTTGTAGCCCTGTTATGTTCCGCTAAGGTCCTAAAGCACAGTGGTTAAGCACCTTTAAACTCTATTGCCCGTCTTGTTTTGGTTATTTCTAAGGATTAAAGACATAGTCATATTCAGATTAAAATACAACCATGTTTCTTTAAGCATCGTATGTATTGTTATCTCTATACTCTACCTCAGCCTTTTTGCTTTGCTTTGCAGTGTTCTTCTTTTTTTGGGGGGGGGGGGGGGGGGGGGGGGGGGGGATGGGGGGACAGGGGTTGTAAAAAAGAGCTATGTAAAATATGGCAACTGTAAATAATGATATTTTGTTTTTGCTGTACTTTTAAACATATGTGGTGTATATCCTAGTTTTTTTTTTTTTTTTGCACAACCTGAACATAAAGTATGTTTTACAAATGTTTACTGGATGATGTGTCTTTACTGTATTAATGACTTGTTAAGAGACATTTTTAAAACCGAAATACTAATTTCATTTATCTCAAGCATCAAGGATTACATTAGTTTAGAAGAACCTTAAGAAAAAATAACATTTCCTAATGTTTTTTTTCCCCCTAGATTGTGATTTATCTTTTAAAATATGTACATAAACAAATATATTAGAAACTTATTTATACCATCGCAACCAAACAAATCCAAAACAGAATTTGAAGTAGTGAAAACCTGTCTCTCCTTTTCCTGTACTTCCAAAGAATAGTATATCATGTAGGTTATTCAGTTCCGCCTACATCAGAAGTGACTCAAACTTACCAAAAAAGATGCAAACAGCAACTGTATCCATTAGGGTTTTCAAAAGTATCGATACTCAAAAAAGTATCGATACTGAAACATTGTATCCGGATACAATACTCGTTTTTAAAAGTATCAATACAGTGCCACCAGTGGCACCTAAACAGTCATTCATCTAAAGTGCAGAATAGAAGACAATGCACTTTCAGAACACTGTGTGATTGAATAATCCTTGTGGTATCGAAAATGGTATCGAGTATCGGATATTTTCCTTAGTATCGGTATCGAGTTGAAAAGTTTAGTATCGTGACAACCCTAGTATCCATACATTTAAAATACTGTGCTGTTGGTGTATTTTGCACTTACAGCTAAAGATAAAACCATCTTCAATGAACGGTCCATTTTATCTATAAGTACTTTGACCAGAGCATTTGGCTCAAATCTGTGTAACATGAATTCTGAAAGAAATTGAGATGAAGACCACCCAAGATTCGCTTGTTGTCTTTGGAGGGCTATCTCCGACCACATTCATGTTATGGCTCAGCTTCTTGTGGGCACACATAGGTCCAAGAGAAGGGATCAACAAGCTGTAGCGATCACTTTTCAAAAACCGCATACAATACACAATCTGCCAGCAAAGCTTTCGGTCATGTAGGTGTGGAGACAATAAAGAAAAAAAAACACAGGATAGGATACATTTTTTTTATATTTTAAGTGAGATTAAAAGTCCCCATATGTGGTGCATGCTGTTGCTTCATTTGCAGTTTACACAGTATGAGTTGTATTGGGTGCTAAAAACCCCTAAACCTCTTTTGACAGAGGCAGATGTTTGGTTTCAGTTAAGTCCTGGTTGGACAGGAATCTCAACATGTTGCTGATAAACAGATGTGGGATGACTGTTCTACTCCCATTGTCAAAGAAGATAAAGATTTGTATTCCCTATGTTAATCCCCAAAAGACTTGATAAAAAATATAAAGTTTTTCCAAGTTTTAGGTTCATCGTATCTCAAACAGAATGTTTTAACTGTGGAAACAGCTGCAAAATATAAGGCTTAGAGGGAAAGCCTTTTTAAAAAAAAAACATTTTCTTTACATAATCTATTCAAAAAACTCAGCTTAGTTATTTTCTTATGTACATTTCTACTAAATCTTCAATGTATTTCTTCCATGCGCTTTGATCGCATTTAGCAAAAATAGATGTTTTTGGAATGTAAGCAGTACAGGTGCTGGTCATAAAATTAGAATATCATGAAAAAGTAGATTGATTTCAGTAATTCCATTTAAAAAGTGAAACTTGTATATTATATTCATACATTACATACAAACTCATATATTTCAGATGTTTATTTTGTTTAATTTTGATGATTACAAATGACAACAAATGAAAATCTCAAATTCATCATATCAGAAAATTAGAATATTGTGAAAAGGTTCAAAATTGATGGCCCCTGGTGCCACACTCTAATCAGCTAATTAACTCAAACCACCTGCAAAAGCCTTTAAATGGTCTTTCAGTCTAGTTCTATAGGCTACACAATCATGGGGAAGACTGCTGACTTGACAGTTGTCCAAACGATGACCATCGACACCTTGCACAAGGAGGGCAAGACACAAAAGGTCATCGCTAAAGAGGCTGGCTGTTCACAGAGCTCAGTGTCCAAGCACATTAATAGAGAGGCGAAGGGAAGGAAAAGATGTGGTCGAAAAAAGTGTACAAGCAAGAGAGATAACCGCACCCTGGAGAGGATTGTGAAACAAAGCCCTTCAAAAATGTGGGGGAGATTCACAAAGAGTGGACTGCAGCTGGAGTGAGTGCTTCAAGAACCACCACACACAGACGTATGAAAGACATGGGTTTCTGCTGTCGCATTCCTTGTGTCAAGCCACTCTTGAACCACAGACAGCGTCAGAAGCGTCTAAAGAGAAACAGGACTGGACTGCTGGTGAGTGGTCCAAAGTCATGTTCTCTGATGAAAGTAAATTTTGCATTTCCTTTGGAAATCAAGGTCCCAGAGTCTGGAGGAAAAGAAGAGAGGCACTTCATCCACGTTGCTTGAAGTCCAGTGTAAAGTTTCCACAGTCAGTGATGGTTTGGGGTGCCATGTCATCTGCTGGTGTTGGTCCATTGTGTTTTCTGAGGTCCAGGGTCAACGCAGCCACATACCAGGAAGTTTTAGAGCACTTCATGCTTCCTGCAGCTGACCAACTTTTTGGAGATGCAGATTTCATTTTCCAACAGGACTTGGCACCTGCACACAGTGCCAAAGCTACCAGTACCTGGTTGAAGGACCATGGTATCCCTGTTCTTAATTGGCCAGCAAACTCTCCTGACCTTAACCCCATAGAAAATCTATGGGGTATTGTGAAGAAGAAGATGCAATACACCAGACCCAACAGTTCAGAAGAGCTAAAAGCCACTATTAGAGCAACCTGGGCTATCATAACACCTGAGCAGTGCCACAGACTGATCGACTCCATGCCACGCCGCATTGCTGCAGTAATACAGGCCAAAGGAGGCCCAACTAAATACTGAGTGCTGTACATGCTCATACTTTTCATGTTCATACTTTTCAGTTGGCCAACATTTCTATAAATCCTTTGTTTTTATTGGTCTTCAGTAATATTCTAATTTTCTGATATGATGAATTTGAGATTTTCATTTGTTGTCATTTGTAATCATCAAAATTAAACAAAATAAACATCTGAAATATATGAGTTTGTATGTAATGTATGAATATAATATACAAGTTTCACTTTTTAAATGGAATTACTGAAATCAATCTACTTTTTCATGATATTCTAATTTTATGACCAGCACCTGTACAGCTCAGTTTTACAGATGACCATTAAAATTCAGTTAAGATGAAGTCATTATCTTTAATTTTATAAATCACCATGTGAGGCAGAAAGACATGAAAATAAACAAGTTGGTCATCATTAAAATGTCAAATGAATGAATTTAAAACTTTCCCCAAGAATCTCATTATGAACACCTTTAGTCTAACAGTTCCCAACAATCTCAATAAGTTGTTACATTAATGCTGATTTTGCACAGTTTCTACCTTAGTCAATTAAATAACATGCTGCTGTCATTTTGCACATCTCTGATGTTGCTGCTATTTTCACATATACATTACTGTAAAAACATCAATAGCCGTATATTGGTTATTTATTCTCCAGGTGCACTTTTCTAAGGTCCATATTGATGTGACCCTTTTTCTTTAATCTTTTTGCTGCTGTAAACACCAGAATTTCCACATTGTGGGAAAATAAAGGGATTTTTTTCTATTCTATTCTATTCTATTCTATTTCACACACTTTTAATGTTGACTTACTTATTGTTAAAACAATATCTCCTCTCACACCGAGAGCATCCTTAAATGTTCAAAGTACATCAGTCATATTTTCACCCTGGAGTGCTATGCCTAGAGACGTTATCTCTTATTTGAGTGTTTCTTACCGATGTGAAATTTCAGTAAATGTTTACTGCCAAAATTGTGATCAATGTGTAAAAATCCCAAATCTTCTCCTAATTATTCTTAAGAGGCTTTCATGTTTGAAACATTAAAAATGTACACTCTACCTGTCAGTACTTTTTATTTACAAGAACAGAATCATAATAGGTTGATCACATTTTCTGAATTTAAAAAAATGTAGAAGAATAAAAAATATGTCTATTTTAACAAATGTTTCAGTGTAGAGGTCCTTAATGTGGAAACCTCAGAAGAGTTTAGCAGCTTTGAAAGAAACAACCCTGATGACTCACTGAACAGAACCTGGCAAATTTAGGAAATTCCTACTCTGGCTCCCTAAATCAGGGTACGCCACTGGCAACCTGTCCAGGGTGTACCCCACATCTCGCCCATAGCCAGAGATAGGCACTGGGCCCACAGCGACCCTGATGGAAGCAGGAGAAGATCGATGGATACAAACTAATGCTCCCTGCACAATCTCAGATCAGTTAGACATGGTTTTGTCATTTACTGAGTAATTATTCCTGTCATATATGTGTTATTGTTACATCCAATAACAAAAATAACTAATTGTCTGATTTTTTGACTAAATTAAGATTTTGATGTTAAAACATTTCCCAGTTTTTTTTTCTTTTTTTTTTGTAATGAATAATCTTTTTATCCTGGATGATTAATGTAAGGTAAAATCTATACTATAGTTAAAGATTTGATCTAATGAGTTTTAATAGGTTTGAGACCATGGAGAAAAAAAGCATGATTTTCGTGCATATTTTTTTCCCATCTTATTACAAATGAAAGTCAAAATAAGACAGGAAATAAATGGAGATTTGTAGTTGTTTTATCATGCTGTGTTCCAAAACACAGTTTTGTGGCTGAAATCGATTTG